TTAAAAATATATAGCTTTATAAATATAATTTGACACCAACGTTTATTAGTATTAAATATTAAATTTTCCAAGGAATTAAATTTATTTCATAATTTTTTATTAAAACTTTTTATTAACTAAAAGACTTTGATGTAGACTTCAATTTATTTTTAAGATACTAGAATTTCCTAACTGTAACTTGTTGTTTCTTGGAGTATCGAAAACGCGATATAATACATTCCAGCTGTAAGATCCAGAGGCGAAACAAGTGACAATGACTCGTACGTAGCTAACCAGGAAATTGGAAGTAAGGAACATGGCAACAGGCATACACACCCGCTTTGGTCATGCCTCGACTTTTTGCCGGTTACGCGGTTAACGGTATCTTCGCGGCCTCGTGGTCCAGTTCACCACGTGCTTCTAACCGAGACGCGGTAATACCACAAGCCGTTTTAGGAGGTCGTGCACCTCTCGATACGAGGAAGACGAAAGTGTCTGCGAAGTCTCCGCTCCCCACGGATTTCCACGAAATCGAAGGAAACAATAATAATCGACTACTGACACTTCGCCGCTGCTCTTTCCCGATTGATAGCAGGCCGGCCGGGTATCGATAAGCGATGATCTCGTTGGTGAAGAATCTCCGGAACATGCTAATCCGCCGTGTAGAACACACGCACGTACGTACTTTGAACTTTGACGCGGAGTTTCATCATTATAGATATTTGAACAACAATGTGTCAGTGAAGGCTTGGTGGGATTCCCGGGATGATAAATTCTGTGGAGGAAAAGTATTTTTCGCAGAAAGCGTTTCGCACCGATGAATTAAAATATTTAATGTACGCCTGAAGAAATCGTTGTAAAATAGTCAACGCTCCGAGGAACGGATAGGCGATCGGCATTTGCCTGTTCGATAGTCCGTGTCTGTTGCGTATTGAAATGCGAAAGGGTTAAAGGAATTCAAAGGTGTTTCGCGGAAGCTCGAAGACAGCACGCTGCCGGGACCTTAACAGCGTGAAGCGCGACGACTACGACGAGTTAAAAGAATGAAAAGGAATAGGCGGAGGGGGGAAAAAAGTTTAGAAAGAGCAGAAGCGGAACCGAGGAAAAAGGAAAGCGGCATGCGAGAATGCAGGCTCGGGTAAGCCGGTGGAAAAAGAGAAGGAAAGATAGAAACAGAGGGAGATGCAGGCCACACAGGGAGAGTATCTTAACCACACAGGTATCGGCGGTATCGATGGCAGCCGGTCGTGCGAAACGATTAGCAAACCGTAACGCACCAGAAATCAGGCTTGGACCATACGTCAGGACGGGTCAATCAACTCGAAATAATCGCGAGCAACGAGACCGATATTCTCGGTCTCCCTAACGAGCCTTCCTATTCATGAGTCGCCGCTTTCGATTAATCAGA